AAAATGGTATAAAATTTGAAGATCGGACACTATTTGGCCGAGATATTCAAAAAAATTATCAAAAAAGGTTTGATTTTCGAACCGAACCCGATTTTGATAAAAATCGTGATGTAACCCCTTGCCATTTTGGTCGATTTGGGTCAAAATTTAGATTTTCTATTTTTTTGATGCCAGTCGATAGTACTGATCCTTACGAGTCCAAAATGGTATAAAATTTGAAGATCGGACACAATTTGGCCGAGATATTCAAAAAAATCGATAGTACTGATCCTTACGAGTCCAAAATTGGAGTTATGTCGTTTTCGAACGTCATATCTTCCGCGGATATATGTCGTTTTTAGAGCGGCGGAACCCGATTTTGATAAAAATCGTGATGTAATCCCTTGCCATTTTGGTCGATTTGGGTCAAAATTTAGATTTTCTATTTTTTGATGCCAGTCGATAGTACTGATCCTTACGAGTCCAAAATGGTATAAAATTTGAAGATCGGACACAATTTGGCCGAGATATTCAAAAAAATCGATAGTACTGATCCTTACGAGTCCAAAATTGGAGTTATGTCGTTTTCAAACGTCATATCTTCCGCGGATATATGTCGTTTTTAGAGCGGCGGAACCCGATTTTGATAAAAATCGTGATGTAACCCCTTGCCATTTTGGTCGATTTGGGTCAAAATTTAGTTTTTCTATTTTTTGATGCCAGTCGATAGTACTGATCCTTACGAGTCCAAAATGGTATAAAATTTGAAGATCGGACACTAATTGGACGAGATATTCAAAAAAATCGATAGTACTGATCCTTACGAGTCCAAAATTGGAGTTATGTCGTTTTCAAACGTCATATCTTCCGCGGATATATGTCGTTTTTAGAGCGGCGGAACCCGATTTTGATAAAAATCGTGTATAAAATTTGAAGATCGGACACAATTTGGCCGAGATATTCAAAAAAATCGATAGTACTGATCCTTACGAGTCCAAAATTGGAGTTATGTCGTTTTCAAACGTCATATCTTCCGCGGATATATGTCGTTTTTAGAGCGGCGGAACCCGATTTTGATAAAAATCGTGATGTAACCCCTTGCCATTTTGGTCGATTTGGGTCAAAATTTAGTTTTTCTATTTTTTGATGCCAGTCGATAGTACTGATCCTTACGAGTCCAAAATGGTATAAAATTTGAAGATCGGACACTATTTGGCCGAGATATTCAAAAAAAATATCAAAAAAGGTTTGATTTTCGAACCGAACCCGATTTTGATAAAAATCGTGATGTAACCCCTTGCCATTTTGGTCGATTTGGGTCAAAATTTAGATTTTCTATTTTTTGATGCCAGTCGATAGTACTGATCCTTACGAGTCCAAAATGGTATAAAATTTGAAGATCGGACACTATTTGGCCGAGATATTCAAAAAAATTATCAAAAAAGGTTTGATTTTCGAACCGAACCCGATTTTGATAAAAATCGTGATGTAACCCCTTGCCATTTTGGTCGATTTGGGTCAAAATTTAGATTTTCTATTTTTTGATGCCAGTCGATAGTACTGATCCTTACGAGTCCAAAATGGTATAAAATTTGAAGATCGGACACAATTTGGCCGAGATATTCGAAAAAATCGATAGTACTGATCCTTACGAGTCCAAAATTGGAGTTATGTCGTTTTCAAACGTCATATCTTCCGCGGATATATGTCGTTTTTAGAGCGGCGGAACCCGATTTTGATAAAAATCGTGATGTAATCCCTTGCCATTTTGGTCGATTTGGGTCAAAATTTAGATTTTCTATTTTTGATGCCAGTCGATAGTACTGATCCTTACGAGTCCAAAATGGTATAAAATTTGAAGATCGGACACTATTTGGCCGAGATATTCAAAAAAATTATCAAAAAAGGTTTGATTTTCGAACCGAACCCGATTTTGATAAAAATCGTGATGTAACCCCTTGCCATTTTGGTCGATTTGGGTCAAAATTTAGATTTTCTATTTTTTTGATGCCAGTCGATAGTACTGATCCTTACGAGTCCAAAATGGTATAAAATTTGAAGATCGGACACAATTTGGCCGAGATATTCAAAAAAATCGATAGTACTGATCCTTACGAGTCCAAAATTGGAGTTATGTCGTTTTCGAACGTCATATCTTCCGCGGATATATGTCGTTTTTAGAGCGGCGGAACCCGATTTTGATAAAAATCGTGATGTAATCCCTTGCCATTTTGGTCGATTTGGGTCAAAATTTAGATTTTCTATTTTTTGATGCCAGTCGATAGTACTGATCCTTACGAGTCCAAAATGGTATAAAATTTGAAGATCGGACACAATTTGGCCGAGATATTCAAAAAAATCGATAGTACTGATCCTTACGAGTCCAAAATTGGAGTTATGTCGTTTTCAAACGTCATATCTTCCGCGGATATATGTCGTTTTTAGAGCGGCGGAACCCGATTTTGATAAAAATCGTGATGTAATCCCTTGCCATTTTGGTCGATTTGGGTCAAAATTTAGATTTTCTATTTTTGATGCCAGTCGATAGTACTGATCCTTACGAGTCCAAAATGGTATAAAATTTGAAGATCGGACACTATTTGGCCGAGATATTCAAAAAAATTATCAAAAAAGGTTTGATTTTCGAACCGAACCCGATTTTGATAAAAATCGTGATGTAACCCCTTGCCATTTTGGTCGATTTGGGTCAAAATTTAGATTTTCTATTTTTTGATGCCATTCGATAGTACTAATCCTTACGAGTCCAAAATGGTATAAAATTTGAAGATCGGACACAATTTGGCCGAGATATTCAAAAAAATCGATAGTACTGATCCTTACGAGTCCAAAATTGGAGTTATGTCGTTTTCAAACGTCATATCTTCCGCGGATATATGTCGTTTTTAGAGCGGCGGAACCCGATTTTGATAAAAATCGTGATGTAATCCCTTGCCATTTTGGTCGATTTGGGTCAAAATTTAGATTTTCTATTTTTGATGCCAGTCGATAGTACTGATCCTTACGAGTCCAAAATGGTATAAAATTTGAAGATCGGACACTATTTGGCCGAGATATTCAAAAAAATCGATAGTACTGATCCTTACGAGTCCAAAATTGGAGTTATGTCGTTTTCAAACGTCATATCTTCCGCGGATATATGTCGTTTTTAGAGCGGCGGAGTTATGTCGCTTCAAAACGACATAATCTCGCCATGATCAGCGGTGGAGTTATTTCGTTTTCAAACGTCATAATTTCGCCAGAAAGCATACAAATTCAAAAAGGTATAATATTTGAAAATCAGACTTTATTTGTAATATCTCGGGTAAATACTGTCTGATTTTGAAAAGTTATACCTTTTTAAATACGTAGGGATCCCTACCATCAAATGGCATTCAAACAAATTAAAAATCGATGTGTTGAAACAAGTTGTGACCAAAAAACGACAGTTTTCTATGATTTTTTTGAAGTATCTCGGCCAAAAAATGTCCGATTTTGCAATTTTATACCATTTTACACTCGTAAGATTCAGCACTATCGAATGGCATCAAAAAAATAAAAATCAAAAGTTTGACCAAAATCGATAAAAAGCAGGCACGTTTTTTGTCGAAAAACGGGATCGGTTCGAATATCAAAACTTTTTTGATGTTATTTTTGTAATATCTCCGGTAAATATTGTCTGATTTTAAAAAGTTATAGCTTTTTAAATACGTAGGGATCCCTACCATCAAATGGAATTCAAACAAATTAAAAATCGATGGGTAGAAAAAATGTCCATAAGTTTTCCATACCAAGTGTTGGGCAAAGAGACGAAGCTGGAATAAGAAAAGGACCTGATGTCGTTTTATGGCAATAATACTCCCCTTTTGACCATGGCGAGAATATGTCTTAAATTTAGATATCCAAGCAGACTCTTGGATGCGCAAGCTCTTGACCGCATCAAATACATTTTTCTTAAGCCGTTATAAATCACATTGTTGGGTTATTCTCTGTCAATATACTCAGATATATTTTCTTGTTTAAAGCTAAATGAAAATTAACGTACAAATTGTAATAATAATCGTAGAGCTTCGCTTAAACGATGTGTGTATAGATGTTACGCCCGGGACGAGTTGGGGGCAGCTATCGATGTGTTGTTCTTAGGCCGGTGCTGGCGTCTCGGGCGCCTGTTCCTGCAAGCACAGAACCAGAACCAGTTCACAGAAATGTTCAAATGAATCAGCGGGCCAGGAACAGCTGCAGATGTGGCTGGTGCTCAGATGTTCACATTAATGTGGTGCCGTGCAATACGATATCTAAGACTAACTCAGGCAACTGCAGGAAACTCGGGTAACTCGTGTGTGAGTGTGTGCATGCCCTGGAGAATGCTCTAGTCGTGCGTGCGCGACTGGCAGATACCCTGAACCCAGCTGACTGTGCAAACATGCTAGATATCTACTTCATGGACAAAATGTTCTTTGTTAACTCGGCTTTTTATGGTCGAAACTTATTAAAATTTGGAGGCCTTCAATGTGGCCACAAAATGTTGTCGTGTATTAAAGTGCAAGGCTCTAGCTTTCTAAATTTGGTAAATTCTACAATTCTGCGGGAAATGGCCGTACATATCGCAAATGTGAAATATGTAAAGTCTTTTTATGCTCCACAAGAACCCACATATCCAGTTTGGTTCCTTTGGCTGATATATTTCTCGAGTTATGCTCGTAAGAAAACTATATGGAAATGAGAGGTATCGGAATAAAACGGAAAATTTAAATATATATCATATCAGCTCGACATCCTGTTCCTGAAATATACCCTTCGACTGGGTTCAGGCTATTCGAAAAATAGGTATGCAACATGTTTTTCTTTCTTTTTTTTTTTTGTAATTTAGTTTAATTTACATTAAAAAATAGAATTTGTAATAATGAAATATAATTAAAAAAAAAAAGAAGAATAAATAATTCATCAGAGCGTTCAGATGTTGGGCTGTTGTTTGAATCCATCATGATGGGAATTATTTTCGATAGCTGGTGTTTTGAAATGTGTTTTTTTTTTTCTTTTTTCTTTATTTATTTTTTAAGTTTCTGATCAAGCTTTAGCGGTACTTTATTTCGTATGCACACATATATGGCATATATATATATATGTATATATGCATAGGCTATATATATATAGAGATATATATTGTGAGATATATACACGTATATTGTTTGACTTTGGATATTTGGCATCAGATATTGTGTTTTTTTTTTGGTGAAATAATTGTTTATATTGAATTATTATTGTTTAGGGCGGGAGTCACGGGTGGTACAGTGGACACTACGTGGACGCGGACACTTAAGCTTCGGCCTCAACCTCCTCCTTTACCTTGGCATCGCCGGGCTTGCCCTTGGACCAGTCGGGTTTCTTCTGCAGATGTCCAATTGGTTTGCACAGGAAACGAGAATAAATATAATCGATTAGCAAGATCGGGTTAATCGTATAAGGCTTAACATTTAACCAGAACATTCACTAGGTGCTGTGTGCTGTGGGCACTACGACTCTACAAACTACATACATACACACAAATACATACAGATTGTGAATGCTAGACAAATACGTGTGTGTGTGTGTGTGTGTGTGAGAGAGAGAGAGAGTGTGTGTGTTTGTGTGTGTGTGTGTGTGTGTGTACCATATAACGAGACAGATAAACAATTAAAAAGAGCGTTAGGCAGAGACAGTTTGAAAGAGAGTGTGTGTGAGAGAGAGAGAGAGAGCGAGCGAGACAGAGATAGAGCAGTACATAAAGTGACAATGGAGGACACTTGGTGCTCAAACATAAACACACATCAGTTCACACATTCTTACACTTTTTGGCTGTTTTTAGAGAAGAGGCATCTTTTATCTTTATCTATGGAGCGTTCACAGCAATTTTGTCGATCGAAGTATATAGACACAAGCACACACACATACATATATATATATATACGTAATTATATATATAAACATGTGCGTGTGTGTGTGTGTGTATGTGTGTGTGTAAAGCATATAGAGTTTATAGCATATCAGTTATCAAGTTAATATACATAGCTATGCATAATATTGCCTAGTCGGAGTGGGCAATAGATCTTACCTCCTTCTCTTCCTCCTCCAGTGTGAACTCCTTCTTCTTGACCACCTTCAGCTGGTTGCGGAAGTTGAACTCAGCGGCCTTCTTCTGCAGCTTGGCAAATTTGTTTTCGTATTTGGAGACCTTCTTCAAGGCTGGCTTAACGCTGCAAAAAAAAAACGAGGAATCAAAAGGAATTAGGCATTAGGATTTCAGAAGCCTCTTATGCCAAGTTGAACCCGCTGAACCCGGTTTTCTTTTGGCAGTAGAAAGACAAGTTTACAAAACCAAACTGATCGGTTCACTATGTCATATAGCTATAGCATAGCTGAGATCGTATGGAGAATAACTTTAAGAGAGTCGAAATAGATCAAAAGTCTTCCAAAAGATCCCAACTATTGCAAAGATCTGACTATATCTAATATGGAAATATATTAAATTTAAAGTTGTTACTTACAATTTGCCGCGAAGATCGTTAACTTGAGCATTGAGATCGTTGATCTATATGTTTGGCGACGAGAGATTAGAGAGGAAATAACAACAGTTAGCATTTGGTAGATATATATATATAAATCGAATGATTTTACAGATTCGTTTCGAAAGACATGTACTCTAAATGTGGCAAACTACTTGAAATTGCAATATCAAAATCAAAATGCGGGCAAATGGGGCAAGACGTGCTAGCAGGCGGGTTGCATGCGGCGAGTCACAGTTACAGTTACAGCTAAATGTATGCACATTTGTTCTTTGTTATTGTTATTTTCGAGGCGGGTTTGAACTGGCGGCTGGTGCGTGCGTGCGTGCGTGCGTGCGAGCGAGTTAGCAATACAAGCCAAATACGCAGTTAGGTTTTGGTCTAACGGTTTTATGGGGCAGCTAAGGTCGGTTTTATTAATATTATTATTAATATTTTTTTCAATTGGTGTTTTTTATAAATTTTTTAAATTTTCTTCATATTTTTTTTGTGGTCGATTGAACAGCATAACATCCAAATGTCGATTTTCTCTTTTTTCTTTTGGTTTTTTTTTTATATATATATAGTATTTCTTTGATTTAGGCATTTTACAGTTATATACGATATTTGATTGAGTCTAGAGTTTTGACCTACATAACACTTGAGCGTACGGAACTGGGGCCTGAGGTACTGCACAGCATGGCACATACATACATAACATACATTGATTGACTGATTGATTGATTGATTGATTGATAGATTTGATTGATTGATTTGTATTTGTTTGTTTGGCTTGATTGTTTCGTCTCTACAGCTACATAACATTCAGATATATATTTGTATATATATATAAATATGTATATATATATATTCGTTTTCTGCTTTGTTTTGTGTTTCTTTTCATTTTGGTTTTCTTCTTTAACATATTCATTTGTTTGTTCGGCTTTTGACAAAGGCTTCGTGTTTGCTTGTGATATAACGGTAAGAAATATAGTAACGGTATAACGGTAACGGTAACGGTAACGGTAACAGTAACGGTAACGGTAACGTTTAGTGGGCAGCGGTGGCAAATGTCTAGCGTTAGCTGGTTGAAGCGAACCGACTTTTGGACTGTAGAAATATTAGCCAGAGCTCGTGCTCTGCGTCAGCTTTTAACAGCTGCACTTATTTTCAATATCTCTGATTTATTTTATTTAGCTTTTTTTTTTATTTTCTTCTTGTGTTCTTTTTTGTTTTGAAACTCCAGGAAATCGACGCTTGGCTTTTATGCTCTTCAATTGCTTGGATTTTACGCTTTTATATAAAATATTCTTTTCTTTTTTTATTTCTTCTGCTTATTTTTTTTTTTTTTTGGTTTTGTTTTGAATTATTGCTTTGGTGTTTGGTTTTTGAGGTTAAGGCGAGAGCGTCGGGTAGAAAGAGAGCGAGCTAGTTAACGATCAAATGAAGTCTGTTTTACAACCCCATTCTATTATTTACAATGAAGTGCGAGCGAGGTTCAGGTTGGAGGTTAAGTTCTTTTTTTTTGGATACTGTGGAACGAGTTGAATAGAGAGGTGAGCAGAGGGCAGTGGGTACTGTGTGTTGTTGTTGTTGTTGTGCTTGTAGTTGTGGCTGTTGTTGTTATTTTTGGTCTGTGGCTTGTTTTTGTTGTGTGGATTTGTTTTGCTGCTGTTGCTGCTGCTGTTGACAAGTGCACATGCAGAAATTCGAAGTAAAAATAACTATTGCCTACATTTGTGCGCGTGCTAACGTGCTGTGTTTGAGTGTGTGTGTGCGTGTGCATGTGTGCGTGTGCGTGAGTGTGACCAACGGACGCACAGACAGTGGCAACAAAAAACGATGCAGATGACGCGACAGCGAAACAAACAAATTATCACAGTAAGAAAAAAGAAAGTATGTATGAAAACAGATATTTTGTAGCATGTAGGTAGAAAACACAAAACAATGTCAGAATTTTTAAGTGTTGTGCAACAAAATGTTTGCAGTGCTGAACAACGACTATAGTTTCTGTTGACAAGTTTGGCAGTGTTGTATAGTGCAGTGTTGAGTGCTGCAATTGCCCATATAAGTACAAATTAAAGTGCAACAAAAACAGCTGCAAATTGTGTTGCCGCCTGCCCAAAGAGAGAGAAAGTTTTGCACAGAACTAACCTCACTTTTAGACAAATGAAAACTAATTGAACTATTTTAACTGCTTGTAAATGCTTGACGGCGATGTGAAATTGGTAATTTTGGCAAAAAAAAAAAACGTTTCGATTTGAAAATGTTGCTTAAGCAGCGTTTGATTGATTGTTTAACTGATTGATTGAGAGTTTGATTGACTGTTTGTTTAGCTGGCGGCTGTATTCTATTCTTTCAATAGTCTAGGCAATTGAGGCTTTAGTTTTATATTTGAATTCTGTTTCGATTTGGTTTTGTGGCAATTTTTGAACTCACACACATATATTTCATTGTTGTTGTTTGATTGGATTGTGTTTCCGTTTTAAGTACAAGTAACATGAGATTAACAACGGCATATTAAGAACTTTGAAAAACTTGAAAAACTTTGTAAAACTCGAACAGCGTGGTAAGTACAACAGAACCATCTATATATGTTTTATCATATGTATGGATACGTATTTTGGTTTTTTTTTTTTTTTTTTAGAGCAAGTCACAAAAAACAGTTACAAGTGAGAGTCAAATACTTATTGTTTTCAATCAAAAAAAAAAAAAAAAAAAACACTCGTATCAAAAAGTTTTGATATTTGATGCAAGAAAGAAAAAAAACGGAAACGTAAAAAACATGATACTAAACAAATCTTATGTCTGGTATTTGGTATTTTTTTTTTTTGTTTTGTTGCTTTTTTTCAATTGTATTTAGAGTATTTTGATATTTTTGAAAATTGATTGAAAATTGTTGCAGTACCTCCCAGTCTTTTTTCCTGACTTCGTATTCCAGATCCCATTTCTGGCCTTCACAAATATACATACGCTCGTAATACTCTTCGCAAATCTCTTGCAATTCGCCTGTAAAAACACATTTTTTTTTGGTGCAATTTTTGGTTTTGTCGTTTTTTTTTTTTTTTTGTTCGACGCATCTTAAGATACTTATTTTAGATTTAGATTTATGTATACGTGAATTATGTATTCATATTGTTTTATAGTTCTACAGATAAATATAATTATATCATAATCGAATTATATCGTTTATTTATTTCTTCTTTTTTTTTTAGATGTTATGTGTTCGGTAAGTATTCAAAATTTTGAAGAGCTGATTTGAAAAGTGATTTTACTTTTTGGAATGGGGGCGCAACGTACGGGTCTGAGAAATGTCTTGGCTATTGTTGTTGTTGTTATTGTTGTTGGTTATGGTTGGTATCGGAAACGTTGTCAATTGGGCTCAGTTATCGATAAATCGATAGCTTATGGACAGACCAAACAGACTCTGGGAGCGAGAGAGAGAGAGAGAGAGAGAGAGAGAGAGAGAGAGTGGGAGAGCAAAAGATTTTAATTTGTACTCATTGGGTTGGTTTAGTTGAAGTTGACGTTTAGGTATCGGGTATCGATACTTATGCAGGCCCAACTGAACAACGTTTCTTTTTTTATTTTTTATTTTTTTTTTTTTTGGAGGGGGTCTCCCAAACGCAGAGTTCAAAGCACGCGCCGATTTTGCTTAGTATCGTGCGCCTTATAAGTTTATATATATGTATGTATATATGCAATTATTAAATAGATATCTGGTATATATATATATATATTTTATTTTGTTTTTTTTTTTTTTAATTTTCGGCTTTGTACTTTTTTTTTGTAGTTTAGCGCAGTTAAAAACAATATCAAAAATTAGGTTTAAGAATAAAACTGAAGAAGAATAATCGCAAAATAACTAAAGAAAAAAAAAAATAAGAATATGATTAAGAAAATATTTAGAAAAAAAAATCAAAGAATTAAATATCAAGGGCATAATTAAAAAAAAAATAAATATTATAAATAATAATAATTAATTATTATTATTAATATTATTGTAGTTGTTGCTGTTGTTGTTGGCAATATTTTTGTTGTAGTTGTTTGCTTTTATCAATAGATTTGTAATAAATAAATAATAAACATTCGCATTTTGGTTGCTCTTTTTGGTTTTTTTTTTTTTTTTGTGGTTTTTGGTATTTTGTGTGTGTTTTTGGTATTTTTTTTTTTTTGTTTTTATTTTGTAAATTATTTTCGTTTTGGGTTCATGGCAAAATTGATGGGGAATTTACCTCTTGTGCTTTGATTTTCTGCACGTGCTCTAAATCAAATTTATCGCCCTCCAATTCGTAAAGTCGTTGCCAATATTGTTTGCATATTGTTTGCAGTTCGGCTGTGGTATCGGTAACGGTAACGGTAGCGGTAACGGTATCAGTAACGGTTTTTGTAACGGTTAAAGTAAACGTCAGCGTTAACGTGACACAACGTAACGCGCGTTAAAGCGTAATACGGCCGAGATCGTGGTGTGCGTGTTGTGTGTGTGTGTGCGTGTGTGTGTGTGTGTGCGTGTGTGTGTGTGTGTGTGTGTGTGTGTGTGTCGTTGTCGTGTGCAGGTATGTGTGCAAAAAGAGACGCAGATAGATGCGGATATAAGAAAAAGATAGACAGATATATATATTTAAAATTCAGAGACAGAGAAAGAGAGAGAGAGAGATAAATTGATAGTGTGTTGTAAGGTTTTTGTGCGTGTTTTGTGTGAAAGTAGGATAAAGATTAAGAGAACGATAGAGAGAAAGATAGGGACAGACGAAAGAGACGGAGAGAGAGAGAGAGGGGGGGAGAGAGAAAGAGAGTGACAGAGACGCACAGGTATCGCGCGTTGTTCGGCGCGTGTCAGAAAAGAGAACGAATATTATATATTAATATATAAAGTCAGATATTTAACTTTATCCTTAGCTTTACGATATATATATATGTTGTAACACCTACAAGTTGCATATACATAAATACATAACAATTGTGCTTTGCTTGCTTTTCATTATACTTTTTATACGTTTCTTGTTTCTTGATTATACTTTGTTAACTTGGTATCATAATTCTTATATTGTTGTTTTTTTCTTTTCTTTTCTTTTCTTTTTTTTCAGTGTAGTGCGCTTTTACGTGTTGGGTTGCATGAGTTGGGTGTCTGTTGTGCTTGGTTGTTGTGCTTTGTTTGTTGTGGCTGCGTGACTGTACTTGGATATGTGTGAGAGGCCCTGCTTACGGTACTAAACAGAACGGGACGAACATATGGCTACTCATTGGAAGCGTGGACTAATACGCGTACTCCAATGTTGGTTCGAGTACTCGTATGTTGGCTCGAGTACTCGTATGTTGGCTTGAGTACTCTTATGTTGGGTTGAGTACTCGTTTGCATACTTGTACTTGACACGTTACTCGTTGATAGACCCCTATGCTCAATGCTCTTTACGCGTAACTCGTTGCTCGTTATTCGTTGTTCGTTGTGTGCGTTGTTCGTTGTAATTGAATTAGTAAAAGCTGTTTGCAAAATACAAAAATTAACAACAGCTGTACTACGACAAACAGACAACGAAGCTTTGGCTTTAATGACTTAAACTAGTTTAGAAAGAAATTCTTAACGTTATTTTCAGAATAGAAACTTCTGCAAAAAAGCCACAAAAAGCAAAATGATGGCAAAAATAATTATATGCTAAAATAGATAAGGTCGGGCTTAGGTAACAACAGCGTGTATTTGGTGTTGTTGTTGTTGTTGTTGGTTTAGTAGAGAAGCCGCAAGTTATGTTAGGTCCGCCCTCTGACTTGGTCAGGGGCTTTCCACTTAGCCTTATGGTTAGCTGTTAGTGGCATCGAGTGAAAGGGGGTTATTACTCGTTTTATATACTCTTTCAATTAGCCCAAAATTCAAAATGGAATGTGTCAAATTTTGAATGTGCTCTCTTGGTAAATGTATTCAAAACTTGCACGGCTCTCTTCCAAAAAATATTCAAAATGCGGAAGAAAACCCCATGAAGAAAATACATTGAACAGAGCTCAAAGTTTTCTACGTGTTTAATTATTTGTATATATATGTTTTTTTTTTGGCTTGCTAAAAATGTTGCTTTACACTACGAATAGCCCCAAACTGACACACACACACAGACAGGCCGACAGAGGGCGTTTGAGTGCCGGCATCTTGATTAATATTTGCATATATCTTTTCAGGTGCTTGGCTTATCAGGTATCCAACATGTGTGTGGAGCATTGTTATTAACATTTCATTTTTCTACGAAGAGTAGCGACAAAAATTTCGAATAGTTCTCTGGTTCAATAATCTGTCAGCGAACGTGAGAGAAAGTGACAGAGCGAGAGAGAAAGAGATAGAGAGAGAGTGAGAGTGAGAGAGAGAAAGTTAGTTGTGGAACGCTTGCCTCAAATTCCTTTCTGGCTACTTCGTGCTCCACATCGTATTTCTCAGACTCCAATTTCAGTATCTTACTGTTATAATCGTGACAAATTTTCTGTAGTGTATCTGCGAATGTTAAAACGAGTGAGTTTTCTGCGCAGTTATCTCTTTATGTTTTTATTATTATTCTTCTTCTTGTATTCTTCTCGGGTCTCGAACTGCTGACAAATTGTGCGTGTGTGCGAGAGAGTTTGTGTGCGTGTACGTGTGTGTGTGTGCTTATGTGCATATATTGATAAATATATTTGAAAGGGGCCGATTGTGTTCTGCTTGTGTGTTGTTTGTACGTGGGCGTGGCAGTGTGCTTGTGTAGAGTGTGTAGAGTGCGTGAAACTGAACGACTTTCCAAGGTGTGTGAGACAGCAGAGCTGTATACAAGAGAGAGAGAGAGAGAGAGAGAGAGAGAGAGAGAGGGCCAGAGAGCAAAAAAGAGAGAGAGAGAGGGATGGACACGGGGACACAGAGAGCTAGATGGCGAGAGCCAGAGCTGATAGTCAAATACCTGGAATTACCCAAACAATTACTTGAGTAATTCATCTCAATTACAATTACTTTGTATTTACATTTCAATTACTTGATAATTACATTTACAATTACTTCGTAATTAAATTACAATAACTTTGTAATTCAATTACTTTGATAATTTGTAATTGTTTGAAAATTACTTTTTAATTCAGCTACAATAACTTTTCAGTAACAATTACCTAGGAATGAACTTGCAATTACTCAATATTTAAATTATAATTCTTTTGTAATTACAATTACAATATGATGACACGATATAATTGCTATTATTATGGACGAAGAGCAGTCACAATTTTATAAATTGATTGCAATCGCTATTTAATTGGGAACTACTCAAGTAATTATCTACGTAATCAAAATCGAAATCGAATAATTTAAATAATTGGATCGGTAATTAATTGAATACAGCTCTGTTTAAAAGACTTGATTGGGCTTATTGGCTAGCTAAATAATTGTTCATTAAGTTCAGCTTTTGGCTTACAAGTTAGGTATACGAGTAGATATATATAAGTATATATAGGTATATGTATGTACAAGGACTTGTTTGCTTTGTTTTTAGATATATATTTTTGATATCAGTTTAGTTTTAGTTGGCTTGAGTTGGTTTGAGTTTTTACGGTATACAAAATGGTATTGTACGAAAATTAAGTGTATTATACAAATAGTAAGTGTTTTAGACAGCAATTTTAGAAATATATATATATATAGATAGAGAGAGACAGAGAGAGAGAGAGAAAGACAGAGAGAGAGAGAGAGAGATAGCTGACAGAAGGTGTTGGTTTTGCTGCTTTTGCAATTGTTGCTGCTATTGTTGTTGTTGTTGTTTTTTTGGTGTTGTTGTTGTTGTTAAGCGTTAAATAGTTTTAGATATTTGATTTTGATATATATATGTGGAACGCTTTGCTGGCAAATAGTAGATAGTAGATAGGCAGGTTTGTAATAGATAGAAAGATAGATAGATAGTTATGTAGTAGATATGTGCGTGTACCTCAACATCCTTGCGTTTAACAACATACTCAAGATCATATTTCTGGTCCTCCAATTTATTAATCCTGTCATAGTGTTGCTTGATCAGGGTTTTCAGTGTGTCTGTGCGTCGACCCAACCAAAAATTGGCAGCATGACAAAACACACACAGATACAGATACAGATACGTTTACAGATACAGATACATATATATATATATATTACATATATATGCATATATATATAATATACATGTTGTTGGGTAACATTCGATATGGACATGGGCGTGTGCGTGTGCGTGTGCACGTGTGTGTATGCGTGTGTATGTGTATGTGTATTTATATTGCAGTAGAAGAAGAGAGACGGGTAACAGGTTGGCAAGTGTGGGAGAGAGAAAGAGAGAGAGAATAAGTGACATATTTAAATACATAACAAATGGTTGTGTGGATGTGTGGGTGTGTGGGTGTGTGAAGCGCAACTTGTTGTTGTTGTGTTCTCATTTGAAAATAGTTTGTGTGTGTGTGTGTGTGTGTGTGTGTGCGTGTGTGTGATGATAGATGACACTTTTGTAGACTTTAATGTTTATGCTTTAAGTTCCTTATTTCATTTTCATTTTCTTTTTTCTGTTACTTTTTTTTTAAATTTTTTAACTTTAAGCCAAAAAACCAGCAAACAAAAGAGGCGCACACAAGGCCAGTGGGCGTGGCCAGCGTATTTTGTTTGCTGCTTTTTTTCGGCTCAAGTATAAATATATATAGTATATTTTTTGATTTATTTTAATTCTTCATTTATAAATTTTCTCAGTGGAAATTTTATTGATTTATTTTTCAATTTTTTTAGTTTTATTTTTCTTATATTTTTCTTCTCTGTTTTTTTTTTTTTTTTTTGGTTGTTTGAACCGCTGGCACTCACCTTCGCTGGCATCACTGAGATTCCTGGGGCTGCCGCAACGTTCTTCAATGATGCGTCTACGTTCAGCCGCTTTGCGTTCCTGTTCTTTCTTCAATTCCTCAGCGGCTTTCTTGCGCAGCAACAACTGTAAATCGATAGACACATAAATAACCATTCGATCTGCTAACTAACACTAGACAGAATCCGTGCTCTTATGTCCATTCAAGCTTATAACAAGAATATATGCATTAACAAGTTGTTGCATCAACGTAAAGTTATGCTAAACGAACTTGTTTGGCAACATAAGAGCACAGATTTTCGTTTCGCAATGCTGTTGTGCTTACCCGGAGTTTCTTCTTCCTTTCTGGGGTCATGAAACCCTTCTTGGCCTTCTTGGCCTTGGAGGCTTCCTCCATGCGCTTGCGCACCTCGGCGCGCTTGCGCTCGATCTCAGCCTGTTTAGCCTTCTTAGCCTGTAAGCACAGCAACACAAAATTGCCGATTAGTGGGTTAAACGTGATCGCTTACAGTTATTTATATCGTTATCGTTATCAGTATTGTTATCGTTATCGGTAGCACAACAACATTTAGATGGCACACGCATATGACGTTGGATACGGGGCTTGGCTGCGTGAACTTGGACATTTGACTTGGTGAGGCGATTGGGGCCGTGAGTTGCGGCCACACACGTACACCAGTGTACCTCCTCGGCCTTCACTTTGGGATCGTTGGGATCCTTTGGCGGGCCGGCGGGCGCTGCCGCAGCTGCTGCTTTTCCATTGGCAGCGGGCGCAGCGGCCGCTTTTCCATTGGCAGCTGGCGCGGCGGCCGCTTTTCCATTGGCAGCTGGCGCTGGGGCGGCGGCCTTGCCATTGGCAGCTGGCGCCGCTGCTGCCTTTTTCTGTAAGTAAACGATAAAGCAACGATTAGTTATCGATCAATTTGATGATTAACATATTAAGCAAGAGCAAGAGAGACGCAACACAGACAGCACAACGGGCAAGGACATAACGACAATGGACAATCGATAAACGTGAATCGATAACATTGATCACTTGACAGTTAATCCATTGTAGTTGTCTGTATCGGCAGCGTTATCGGAACTATTATCGCAACTAGCTCGCCACCTGTGAAAGCAAAAGAAGCCATGCGTGTTACCCAAAGCATTTAATTGAGCTTTTCTTATTTATTTAACTATTTTTTGGTTCGACTAGCTTGATTTAAGTTGAGTTAGGTTAGTAACTTGGCTAAAACAAAATAAAACTCACCTCCAACGGTTGCCGATTGCCCGTCAGTTGCCAGTTGCCAGTTGCCTTGTTCATAGTTCACGCGCGTCCCTTTTGTCATTTTGAAGGTTTAAGCGCTTTTCAACACTATTTCAACTGTAAATTGTGTGTATTGTGAATATTGGTGAATATGCTCTCAATCGATGCGGCACATTTGCTTCGATACTCACCTCACCTCATCATCAGCCATTTTGATTTGTGTTTTTTTGAGTTACTGCAAGTAGAAAAGAGTTGAACACCGGGCGGTGAGTGAGTTTTGAATGAATCGTAATGCAATTGTCGACTAACGCATGACCTCATCAGACACGCACAACACACACACACATACATACGCGCAATACAACTGTAGCTGTGCGCTGACAGGCTGTCATTTAATTGGCCGCTGGCATATGTTCCATAATAAATTCCAAATAATTGGCTGATTAGTTCAGGCATTTCATAAAATCAAAATCTGTGCTCCCACACACATACACACACGCACACGCACACACACACATACTTTTGCACAGTGCGTATGCGCAATGCATATAGATAAGCAGATTACGTATACGCCAGCATTGCCGCACCGTATATGGGGGCAGCGCCTGCTGATCGCGCCTGCAAATCAGACGCTCTCACACGCTCGCTCGCTCTCTCTCTCTCTCTCTCTCTCGCTCGCTCGTGCGCTCGCTGGCTCTTTAGTTGCGCGTGCAAGCAGGACAACCGGACGGCCTTTTGCCTAGCTCGATATCCAATTACAGGCGTCGGAAGAAGAGACGAAGCGAGAGAAAGCTTTGCTCTCTCGCGCAAGCTCAGCACGCACAGCAAAAAAAAGCTGCTGTTGCAAGCTTTAACAAAGGCAACAAGAAATTTAAAAATCCGTTAAGAACGCATAATATTGTTAGAATCACACATATAGAACTATATTGCCATATAAATACAATAATTTGATGTGTGCCAGTTAAAATTTAGCTCAAACGAAGGTCGCACTAAAACACAAAGATTGTAAAAGCTTTTAGCCTAAGCAGGCACAATAACAAAAGCTCTGGAAAATTAAATATAAATATATGCATATATATTTATTTTTTTATAGAATATATAGATGCCAGATGTGCATATATGTATATATATATATAGAGGTAGACTATGCCAATATGCATATATACAAATTATTGTAGCCTGCTTACAAAATATCTAAATTTGGAGGAAGGATTTTATTATTAACTAAATGCGTTTGTTTCTTTTTTTCAATTATATGCATAATTAAACAAACAAAACGAATATTATTTATATGTTTTAGGTATTTGACAAGTAGAAAATTATTTAAGGAATTTGATTAAAGTTAATATGCATATACTGCAATTTTGGCAACATTTTCGTAAGCCTCGAAAGTATCTGTAATACGGGCCAGCAGCTCTTTAACAATTGCTAACTGAATTAACTCGCTTCAAGCCTTAAGTTTTAGCCAATTTTTGCAGCTTTTGGCCAAGTTCAGCTAAATCAATTGTTCAATTTTCTTGAAAATGCGTCAATTCCAACTATTTGGCAGCTTTTCTTGTGCCTGAAAACGTGTCAAGAGTCAAGAATATATATATATATATATGTATATATATGTATATACATATACTAGTGCGTGTGTGAGTGTGTGTGGGTGTGTGTGTATACAATGGCACATTTCTATTTTGGGTGGCAGTTCTTGTTGTTGTTGCTGCGGCTGCTGCTGTTGCTGCTGTTCGCATAGAAATTGTTGCTGTGGCTGTGGCTGTTGCTTCTGCGAATGTATCTTGTATCTGACAGCTACATTTTTAGCTTTTGCACACGCACACACACACACGCACACACATGCACACAAAGGCACTGTTATGCTCCACATTCCTTACATAATCGTTGCGCTCAACAATTTATGAAAAATTCAACAAAAAGATGATGCAAAGAAAAATATATATATGTATATACAAAAAAATCAAATATCTTTAACTTTTGCTGTCTGCACTTGGGCACTTGAAAAAAATGTTTCAAAAAAAATATGTTGTATCTATTGTCGTAGAATGAAAGGTGCAAAAAAAAAGTAGAAAAAAATTGTTGCAGTTCACACACACTTTACGACTGGGTCTCGTCTTTGTTGTTCGTTAAACTTATGTTTTTTTTGTTTTTTGTTCACAGCAAAAAAATTGAAGAGTATTTTCTTGATATTGTTATTATTATTCAGATTTTAGCTTGGATGCGTTTCGCATTTGGAGTTTCCAGTTAAGTTTGCGTTGCTTTGGTTGGCTTATTGGTTGGTTGCACTTAAACGCCAGCCCACTCACCTTCAAGGAATTAGAAAAAAAATCAAAAAAAAATTTGAGCGTTGCTGTCGATCACACGAATCGGATGGTACTGAACGATACAAAAAGACTGAACGGTCCGACGATCCACGGCAGACTATATTCAAGTGGCGGCCAACCTATGGATACAGATACCGATTCGGATTCAGATTCGGATTGTACAATAGACGCACACACATGCACACGCACACAGAGAGACAAATACATATAGCTGTGCGCCGCCCACCTGCCCGTCCTTCGCTGATTGCCTTTGTGCGCGCGCTCTCTCTCTCTCTCTCTCTCTCTCTCTCTCGCCTAGAACGGGAGCGAGAGAGAGAGAGCGCGAGAGCGAGCAAGTATCTCGCAGCTGTATTCGTATCCGTATCTGTATCTGTATCTGTGTTCGTATTTGTATCTGTATCTGGGCGCACCGCCTAAAAATAGACGCCGCTGGCAACCCAAATCGAAATGGATACCGAACAAAAATTCGTGTTTGCCCAATTCATGAGGTTGCCGCTGCGCTCCGCACTCAGCGATCGGCAGCCTGTTGCAGGCAGCCAAAAAAAAAAAACAACAAAAAACAAAAAACAGTTGGAGAAACCGTCTAAACATCTATATGATCATGTATAATTGTATCTATATGTCGCTGGCTAGATCATGGTGCGTGTGTGTGCGTGTGCGTGTGTGTGTGTGTGTGTGTGTGTGTCTTTGTGCGGTGTAAGCGGAGCCGCTTGGAATTCAATGCATGTGTTAAAAATAAGTTTGCTCCAGTTGAGCATTGAGTGGGCCAGCGTGAGAGATAGAGAGAGGGAGGGGGAGAGTGGGAGTTGGAGGTGGTGGCGTAGAGAGAGGTAGAGAAGGGGATCTTTGGACGCCCACAGCTCGCAGGCCCCCTCGAGAACGGTCCATATGCAGTTACCCAGGCATGGAAACAAGCCCACGAGCACTTCGAGCACAACATTAGCATATATCCAATAATGCGAGACAATAAACAGCTCGGGGATTTGGGCGCCAGCCCTGGTCAGCAGCAGCTACGACAGCTGCGATTCGATTTGAGATAGATATTTAAACATAAATATAACAAAGTGTTTTCCAGTTGAAATTGGAAATATTCAAAAATTATATAAAAATAGCTCATTGATTCTTTTCCTTTAGCCATGCACATTACCCGGCCTTGCCCAGGCCAAGTTTTATTTCAACTGCAAGACTTAAGCAATTATTTTTCTGCCAGATACTTTTAAAATGAGCTTCAATTGCATCTGAAGTCGATTAAGTCGAAAGTTTTCCGCCCCAAAATCTTTACAATAATTATTCAATTAATTTTTTAATTAAATTGATAAATGTGTAACTCATGTCAAATGAATTTTCATAAGGAATGAAAAATGAATTTACGGCCAGACAATACAATTTTCGACCCTCTTCCACTCATTTTTCACACTTGCGAGTGGAATAGGCTAAAATCATAACATAACATTTACATAACATTGGGTAGCTACAGTCAACATTACAGCTAGAAGCTCTATCGCGTTAATCACCAATCAGTCAATCAGTCAATCGGTAAGTCAGTCAATCATCAGTCAATCAGTTAGTCAGGACAAACAGTATTATATATAGAGATGCATGTGTCTATATATGTATATTTATGTAGTTTGTATCCGTGCTTAAAACAGGTTAATCAGCAGTCAGTCAGTCAGTTAATCAATCAGTCAATCAATCTGTTATTTAACATAAATAGCTTTAAATATGAAGATATTTTCGGAGCCTGCAACTCAACTTAAGCCAACTTCTGAATGCCAAAGGAAACAATTGACCGAGAATAATAAATTAATAATAAAATATATAACAATCAAATGCTTATAAATTAAATAACTACTTATAAGAAATGTTTAATAGATAAACAAGCAAAATGCAAGCAAAGCTTTTAATTGGTCAACTCAAGCGAATTCAACAATATGAAACAAACAAGTCAGCATATATCGGATATTATATAGCATATATATTAATAAGATATAATTTTAAATATATATATATATAGTTACGTCTAATGTATGAACATGAATATATATACATATGTATTTTGGCAATGGTAATATGTGAAGATGACGCTGCAACGCTTCGTATGCGCACTCTGCCAGAGAACAAACAAATTGGATAAAACAGACACAGAACAAGTTACAGATACAAGATACAAACACAAGTGCCAGATACAGATACAGATACAGATACAGATACATGCGGCTGCCTTGCAGTCAGTGCTAATGTGCAAAAATTTCACAAAAATCCCAAACAGAAATGATTGTTGCTCTTGTTTTTGTTGCTTTTGTTGCTTTTGCCGTTGCGATTGTTGTTTTTATGTTGCCTGGCAGCATCTTCGAAGCGAGCGCCAATGGCATTAGAAAATCTTTTCAATCACGGATACATATTAGCACATATACATCACTATATATAATACTGATTGACCTGACTGATTGGATGGTTGAATGACTGAACAACTAATTGAGTGGCTGAATGAATAACTGATTGACTGAATGACTGACTAACTGATTGACTGACTAACTAGGTGACTGACTGACTAATTGACAGACTTATTGACTGACGGACTGATTGCTTGTTGACTAATTGACTAACTGATTGGCTGACTGACTAATAGCTGAATATAAAAATGCATTTGAGACAAAAATAAACATTTTTATAAACAGTTTCAAGTTTCTTGCAGACAACTTCACAGAACTAAATGAAAACGCGTTTCAGCGAATTTGTAAATTCCACCCGCA